CACTGCTATCTGCTTCTCGAGCTACATGATAATAATGAGAGATGCAGATCCTAGTCATTGCGAGGCGGCGAATGTCTTAGTAGCGTCTTGCCCTACCGCCGTAGTGATCGCAACCCTACAATTCTTCCAGAAAATCCGATATAAACAGCTCAAAAGGAACTTTTAACTTATGAAGGATTATACACATATGGCGTCATAATGCAGAATGCCGCAAGCAATTGGTACTACATAGAAATGCGCGCCAGATATAATAACGTCACATGTTCGACCATAATCATTGGCAGAGGTCCAGTGTTTGAAATTGCATTCAGGTCCTAAAGGGACTGTCGCATTGGTTTACGGTACGTGGTTCTCGCCCGCCCCTATAATGAGCCTGCGTTCACTGTTGCTAGTGCTTACCGCAACTACTCCGGTTGTTCGACTTAGTGACAGCTGCACTAAAGATTGTTGCTCTACAATGTCTGTAAACGAGAGAACTTTCATTTGCGTAAAACCTGATGGTGTTCAGAGGTGACTTCGTCTATGTGTTTGTCTTACAAGGTTTTGAATTCTTACTGCTTCATTGTCCGCGTAAAATTACCGTCTCAGGAATCTTGTCGGCAAGATCATTGCACGATTCGAAGAGCGTGGTTACAAGCTTATTGCTCTGAAAATGATGAGTGCGTCTAAGGCACACTTGGAGGTGAGTTGTTGCCTTACGAATTTAAGATTTTATTTAAGGGTATCTTGCTGCTGTGACTGAGAGGGGAAGCTTTTTAAGTTTTGCAAATGAACTGAAAAGATACGGAAGGCTCGAGTTCTTGTAAGAAAAAATTACTTTGATCATGAAATTCACGCTGCTTATGTTTTTCCTTTGTGGCAATCTACTTATTCAATGCGCTTCAAATGAAATCTCATCTCGCTTGAGATTGTAAATATGTTTTGATGGAAAGTTTTACGATTGCTATCGTATTCATTTCTTTTAGGTCCACTACCAAGAGCTCAAAGACAAACCATTCTTCCCTCATCTCATCGAATACATGAGTTCTGGTCCTGTTGTTGCTATGGTCTGGCAAGGCTTAGACGTTGTCAAGCAGGGTCGCTCGATGCTCGGCGCTACTAACCCATTGGCGTCAGCTCCGGGAACAATTCGTGGTGACTACTGTATCCAAACAGGTCGTAACATCTGTCACGGTTCTGATTCGGTAGAATCAGCTCAAAGAGAAATCGCTCACTGGTTTAAACCGGAAGAAATCAATGATTATGACAGCCCATTTATTAAGACGTGGGTTTACGAGTAGATCTCGGAGTAGTTGTAAAACTTTGTTATTTTGTAGAACGATAAAAATTTCTTTCATTGTGCTTGCGACACCGACAGGTGGTGGTTTTTTTTAAGGAGACTGAAGGTGCACTTCTCTTCTTATAAAACTGCTACAACATTGGGGAAATGTTATCTCTTTTTCAAATAAGGGTATCGCTCTACATCGAATTCTCCGCTTGAAGATGCAAGCAGTACATATAGAGTATTTGGTTGTCATGGAGACTAAAATACTTCAACCCCAGATAACATCCCCTTCACTATGTGAGTGTTTCAAGTAGTTGAATTTCAAGTATTTGAATTTACTAACTATGTAAATCTCATCTGACTTCAATTGGTCTAAAATCGAAACAGCCAGAAAACTTTGGTGATTTCTTGATATAGAATGTTTGTGACATGCTAGAGATCATAGGTTCCTCTTCATGACCTTGATAATCAGTATCGGATAATCGCAGTGCAAAGATGTCAGATTATCCAGTAGGTTTAACGTCAGTTTCACTTTTGCTAAAAACAATTTATTGAGAAATTTGTGACGGTCACAATTCATTACATGTTGAACAAAAAAAAAACAAAATTGACGAAGGTGGGTCTGGAAATAGTGGACAGTACTGGCACTTTGTGATTAGTACAATTACATGTACAAAACTATCCTATCAAGCGAGCTAGAGTTTGTGAAAGATTTGCATTGTAAAAGTCACATTCGGGATGGTCGAGATGATTTTCAAAGTCACTTAAATTGCGATAAAGCTTGTCGTGGACGGCTCTAGATAATAGAGTGAGACTGTCGGACGGTGTGTCTAACCTGAAAATGAGGAAGGATCAGTTTGTTTCGTTCTACAGTATATTGTTGGTCTTCGTTCCAAAATGCGAAACTCAGTGACTGCGAAATGCACCTCGAACAGGCATTACACA